GACATGCGTAAACAGAGGGGCCTCCCCGCGGAATTCGTATTGGATTCCAATACTGGATCCCAGCATCTCTGAGATTAATGTCGCGGATGTGTTCGCAGAAGCGGCCGAGGTCCACGCGGAGCGTCCCAGGCTCGAGTCCGACAGCCCCCGCGGAAATTGTGGACCCAGCCCGCACGTTCACACGTGTTGTGCGTTCCAGTCCCCCAGTGGAGAACTTGTGCGCGGGCGCGCGCTCAGGCCTCGCAGCAGGGCTGCCTGAGGCTGAGGCGCGGCCGGAGTTTTGGCGTCAGGCAACGTATGCCGGTAGGGCGCACGCCACCGTCAGCCTTGTCCGTGAACACAGTGTAACATCGTCGTTCTTCGCGGTCGAGTTGTTTTCGATTTGGTTCGTGCCAATCGCGCTGCTCGCACCTCTCTCGGAGTAGCCTACTTGGGCATGAAGCATCGCGCGGGCTCGCATGCTTTCGCAATCAGATAGTTGCGCTTCTACCAACGCTACGCCACTCATTTTTGGTTGAAATCGTTTATTTTTCGATTCGCGTTTTGTCGCCGAAAGCTTCGCCAGTATAATGTCATTACTGTAGTAAGGAAGAGCAGCAAATCCTGAGGCTTCAATCCTGTGGAGGATATCCCAATGACGCAATGGGTGGGTGTCCTCCGAGACGTCCAAGATCCAACGGGGGTAAAAGCCATCCCACCCCAGGCCAGCACCAGGGGAGTACTCAGTAGTACTTGCGGCGCACCTTCAAGAGCGCATCCAAAGCGACGTGTGCTAGAGGAGCCTCATCGTCGGGTACCTCCCACTTAGCAGGATGTGGTTAGGTCGTTTCTTCCTTCGACCTTCCAGAGCGTGGCCCATTCCTCCAAGCGTGTCGCCAGGGCAGTGGTTCCTATTGAAGTCAGGCCCTCGGAGTCCAGGAGGAAGTGAGGTTAGACCTTTCTTCTTAGCAAGCCTGCGAGCGAGCACAGTTACCTCTTTCCTTGACGCTCTCCCCATCCCAGGACCTCCGTTCCTTCGGCGGCTCCTTCGCATCCTCCTGCCTCCCGGCGGCCACCCCCTCATGCATTGTCCTCGCGGCATCGTGGGCACGCCCTCGGTGACCACCTGCGGCGAGATCGAGCAGATGTTGGAACGGCTGAGTGCTTTCCCCAGCGCAGTTGGATCACCTCAAGCAGACGCCTGTTGAGGAAGCTGGCGCGCAGTCCGTAAATGTTGTTCTTCCGGGGCCGGGCAGAAAAAAACTTCGGTGCCGCCCTTGTCACGAGGGACCCTCGCCTGCGGGCCCCCGCGCCAGCGGTCAAGAGGGAAGCAGCTGCCTCGACGGCCGACCTCGCTGTTAGCGCGGGCCTGACGCACACGCGCGCCTGCACGGCGCACGGTCGGATACCCGCGCAGTGTGTCGACCGCGCAAAGCTCCTCCCCCAGCGCAGTCGGAACGAGGTAGAAGATCGAGGTCCGCTCGGGGTAGGGTACCCCATTGTTCTTCGTGTCTGTTGAGTGCGGTCGTGCATCCTAGGGGGGGGGCCCTCGAATGCTCTTCCGTTTGGCCGGTGGAGGGTCTCATGTTCTCGGAGGAGGGTTTTCTGTTCTAGATTTAAGTTGGGCGTGTCCCTCTACAGGAGGAATGTTCAAAAATAGTCGAAAAATAACATGGGGACAGTTTATGTTGTTTGTGTGTGAGAGAGAGAGAGAGTGATAATGTTTGAATATTTGTTTGGCAAGTTTCCATTTTTTTCCAAAATCTGGCTATAGCAGGACATGCCCGACCGAATCTTAGGTCCGACTGGGTTCCCAGAGGGAACCTCTTCGCAATAGGCCCGCGGGCCCTCGCCCGCGCGGGGGCGAAAGGCCTGGCGATCGCTGCGTTGGATCTAAGCTGGGCGCGTCTCCGCGATGTCGAGCCAGTGCGTCGTCATGTCGCCCAGGTTCATCGGGGGCCCCAACTCGACTAGACGTAAGTCAGAGGAGGAAGAGGTACACATACCTCTAACCTCCCCTAATGTTTGCCTGTTTGGGCCTCTTGGGCCTCCGTCGTCGCCACCGCTGGATTCGCCTCGAAATCCTGGTCAGAACGCACCCCAGGAGAGGTCCGGGGAGTAGCGGTATTGGTACCTTTTCGTGTCCCCAGTAGGATTGACCTTTCGCCGGAGTGACCTTCGGCGCGGGCCCACTGGGGTCCCCTGATCGCCGCACGCGAAGCGGTAGCAGCGGCTTGCGCTCCTGGGTTTGACCACCCCGCGCCCCACGTTAAGCCGCGCACCGAAGGTCACTCTTGTCTAGGGTCACCCATGCGTGTAACCGAGAACATGCCACGCCCAAGGGTGAAGATAAGGAGCCTGGTGAGGACCGACGAAGCCCGTGGCGAACGAGCGGAAGTTGACATGCTGCTGGATCGACGCCGCGCTCCTAGAGTTTTAGAGAGGCAGGCGCGTGCGCGCGGGAAGTTTGGCGCCTGGCCGAGGACAGAGATCGAGCTGACTCGCGACGCCGGCACTTCGGACATTACAAAGGAAGTAGTCCAGGGGGCCCCCCGAACCTCTGCACCCCCGGCCCCCAAGTTGGGAGCCCTCTCCTCCGATGCCTCGCAGTTGTCGGGAACGTCTTGACGGGCCTCCTGGGATGGGTCGAGCCTCGCATGTCGGGGAGACGAGACTTGACAAGCTTACCTCTCAGGGGCGACGCAGACCCCGCGAACCTTCTGGAGCCACCCGGATTCGATGAGGACCTCGGGCTGAAAGTTGAAGCCCCTTTGGGGCATCCACGGCCTAGACTGCCCAAGAAGATGCCTGCCCACGGCCTTCAGAATGCTTGCGCTGGGCCTTGAGAGTTCCTGGCTCTTGACGAAGGAGATGCAGTCAACCATGATGCTCTGGCTGAACCCGATGTTGACGGCACCACCGACCGCGCGATTGGGGCAATCCTAGAACACAGGGGTGGCAGTGGGCGTCGAACCAGAAAGCGACCGAACAGCATCAACAACTCTTGAGCTACTCTGCTGAGCTGCAGGCCCTGCACTGTGAGCTAGCTCGAAATGAACTAACTATACCTATCCCCCCAACCTTCGGCGGAGATCTGCTTCGTCACGCTCTTGATCTTGCCCACAACACATACGAGGCAACTCGTGCCCGCCTAAGCTCTTGGAATTATGCAATATCGCTTATTCAGTGTAATAGTTTCGAGCGAGCTCCAAGAGTTGTCTGCCTCATCGAACATGCATTCCCTCCTGCCGCGCTCTCAGCAGCACAAGTCTCCAGCTTGTCGCGGGTCAGGCTTGGCCAATCCACTTCCAGTCTTTCGAGCCGGGCCAGGGTGTCTGGGGCACGCTTCCCCTCGCGGGTGCAGTCGGTGCCGTTGGCCCCGACATCCCAGTACAACATGGTACCGTGCCAACTCGACCTTCCCCGGGAAAACTGGAGAGCGATCCCCTCCGCCGCTGGAGATGCACCCACCTAATCGGCCGTCCGCGCACGCGCCACAGAACGACACCCGAAGGCTCGTCTCCAGACCGGCCTCGCTCAGCACCCTAACTGTCAGCACAGCCACCGGGTAGGGCGAGGAGAGAGCCATCAGCTCCTCCAGGCCAACGTCGACACACTCGCTTGACCCCCGAGGCCGCCGCAGCCTCGTTGAACTGGCGCTTAGCTGCTTCCTGATGCTCTGGCGCCGCCTTGCGGAGCTCCTCCGCTGCCTGTGAGAATGCATCTGTTTGCGGCCCTCGAAGTTGTCGCGCTTCCCCCCCCCAGCAAATTCGTGCCGATGTCGTCTCTATAGTATTCCTGTGTTGGTTGGTTGGTCCACTGCTCTTGCCTGGGCACCCACAGCGGCAGCAGCAGGAACAGGCTCAGGATGAACAGCAGGCCGCTTGGCCTCAGCCGCTTTCTGCTGAAATCCAAGAAAGACGGTCAGAGCGTCACGCCCTTACTACGACTCGACCACCGACTGCTCCAGCAACGCTGTGAGAGCCTCGAGCGGGTCCTCGAACTCTTTGACGTGGGCTTTGCACAGCTGCTCCTCAGCAACGGTGAGGTCGAGCTCGGACTGCTCGAGGCTCTTCTTGATCCCCTCGATCTCCTGGTCCAGCGCCAACTGCTGCTTTTTGATCGATCCCATCACGGTACTGGACTTCCGCACCGTATTCCTGAGACGCTTAACCGTCTAGTGCGCTGTGTGAGCCGAGGGCTTTGCAGCCTCCTCCGTAGTCGTTGCATTCGCCTCTGCGTCCTCCACCACAGAGGCGTCCACATCTTGAGGACTGCCGCCACCTGCTGGTACGACAGCCTCTCCGAACCCGAACTCGCACCTGCTGCTTTTCCCAGACCCGGCTTCGCCCAAGGTGGCTCAGGTGGGCGGCCACCCGTGAGTTTGACGACCTAGGCCTGCAAATCCTTGAGGAGCTGCCTCTGGTCGGAGTCATTGGGCGGCCCCTTGGCCCAGGCACCTCCAGGGGCCCGAGGACCAGACGAGGGAACCCACGAGGCCGCCGCCTTCTTCGCTGCCTGCACCACCTTGGTCGGCGCTCCCGAACCACATTCACGGCACTTGATACGCGATGCCCAGTTGTTCCAACAGTTGCATTTGCATTCTCACATGGGCGTCTTGGCGCTTGGCAAGACATCGGGTGGAAGCCCCACTCGCTGCGCAGAGCTCTTGAGGCGAACGTGAAACTCAGGTTCGACTAACAAGCACGAGCCGCTCTGAAACACGTGCTTGCAAGCCCAGCAGAGCGGTGAGGAACCTTGTCCGTTCTGCTGGGCTTGTATTTTTAGGGTGCAACCACCCAAACACCCACCCTTGGGCCAGAAGGGCTTCCAGAGGAGGAGAAGGAGGAGAAGGAGGAGAAGGAGGAGGAGGAGGACGAGGAGGAGGAGGAGAAGGAGGAGGAGGAGGAGAAGGAGGAGGAGGAGGAGGAGGAGGAGGGGAGGAGGGAGGAGGGAGGAGGAGAGAGGAGGAGGGAGGAGGAGAAGGAGGAGGAGGAGGAGGAGGAGGGGAGGAGGAGGAGGGATGCAGAGCCTCCTCCTGCTTGATCCCCTTCTGCTGAGATTAGATGTCTGCCCGGCTGCACGTTCGGCACCGTCTAGCTCCTCCTCATCATTATCATCATCCTCATCCTCATCTTCATCCTCCTCCTACTCCTCCGCCTCCTCCTCCTCCTCCGTCTCCTCCTCCTCTTCCTCCTCCGCCTCCTCGTCCTTCTCCTCCTCCTCCTCCTCCTCCTCCTCCTCCCTTTCCTCCCCCCTCCGGCACCACCAAGACGTCGGCAGCGCACGCCGGCAGGCGCGCAGCCAGCTGGGGGGGGGGGGGGCTGGCGCCCCCGCGAGCGCGCTGCTGCCGCTCTGGCTCCTCCTTCTCCTGTCCTCCCGCTCCTGGGCCGGGCAACGAATACAGTCAAGACGCCGAATCAGCGAGCGCGTTCCAGCACTCGCAAAGTGTCTCCACGCAAACGTCCCCAAACCACATGCTTGCCTTGACGCAGTGGGTCGTGAATCCCCCCCTGGCGGATCCAGGCCACTTGCGTTCAGTTCTTATTTGCGAGTGGCGGAGCGCGTTTGTCCACTGAAGCAAGGACCACCTGGGGCCCAGCAGGCGCTCTGGCTTGCGGGCCGCTTCTCCGATCAAGGTCGGGGGAGCCTGCTGGTGGCCGAGGCCAGCGGTGGCGAGGCCCCTTCGCTCCTGCCTCCCTGCGCTCCTCCAGGCAGCGCGGTTGCAGCATCGAGATCGAGGCGGTGAGGTGAAAACGATGCCGTTCGATGCTGCCTCCCGCCGCCACCTTACTCGTATGGCGCTCTCAAGCCCGTGCCTTTTCAGTACGCGTGTCAACGTTTCGCCCCTGCTGGGGCTCGTCAGGACTCGAATGAAAATGGCAGCGGCATGCGAACACAGCAAGTGCATGATCGACACAATACTGCGTGCAATGCGATACGGCAAACAAAAACACATGCATGCATGCGGCGATCTCTCAACAACAGCCCTGTATTGGATGACTGCTGCTTCTCCCCCCCCAACCTCTCCGCTTGCCTTGCCGAGCCGTCGGCCTTGGAGTCGGTCAGGGGCACCGCGCGCTCCCTCTCCCGCAGCTGCCCCCCGCACCCCCCCCCCCCCCTTCTCCCGGCTTGTCCTCCCGGCTCTTTCTTGGTGCTCCGTCCTCTTGCATGATATGGTTCGTGCTCCTCCTGCCTCTCTGTACTCTGTGCCTGCTACTTCTCCTGCTCCTCCTCCTCCCACTCCTCCTCCTCCTCCTCCTCCTCCTTTTTCTCCTCTTCCTCCTCCTCCTCCTCCTCCTCCTCCTCCGACCTTCCTCCCAGTACGTTGCCCTCCTCGTCATCATGGTTATAAAGACCTCGTCCTCAGTATCGTTCTTCTTCCTCCTCTTCCTCCTCCTCCTCTTCCTTCTCCTCCTCCTCCTCCTCCTCCTCCTCCTCTCCTCCTCTTCCTCCTCCTCCTCCTCCTCCTCCTCCTCCTCCTCCTCCCCCTCTTCCTCCGCCTCTTCCTCCCCCTATTCCTCCCTCTATTCCTCTCCGTCCGACCTCTTCCTGTTCCTTCCCCCTCGTCCTCGTCCTCCTCGTCCTCCTTCTCTCGCTCCTCCTTCTCTCGCTTCTCCTCCTCCTCCTACTCCCCCTCGCCTCTTAGGAATGCCCCTGTACGCTATGTGCCGCGACGACGGCTACAACGGCGTCGTGTTTGAGGGCGTCGGCAAGACCCAGGCGCGCGGTCGGAGAGACGCGGGCCCGCTCCCCCAACGCTCGTCCCCTTCCTCCTCCTCCTCGTCCTCGTCCTCCTCCTCCTCCTCGTCCTCCTCCTCGTCCTCCTCCTCCTCCTCCTCTCCTTTACGTTCTAGAAAACCCCTCCCTGTCGCACCCCGAGGCCGGTCGAAAGGGCGGGCTTGGCGTTTCGCTTGAGACACCTTCACCATTTATGATCCTGAAGCTTGAACTTTGCAAGAGCTTCACGGATGGAGGGTGGTCCGTTTTCAAAATGTGGCTCTCGCCTCAGCGCCGCGCACATTCTTTCCAAATTCTTGCAGGACTTTCACGGATGGCGGGTGGTCCGTTTTCAGAATGTGGTTCTCGCCTCAGCGCCGCGCACATTCGCCTTTAAACGTTCGCAAGATTTGCACGGGTGGAGGGCCGTTCCTTTTCAAAATTTGGTTCCCGCCTTAGCGCCACGCAAATTTGTTTTAGAAATCGAGGGCGGTTCTTTTTCAAAGTGTGGCTCTGGCCTTAGCGCCGCACACATTCGTGAGAAGAGTTTGCAACAGTCCAAGGATTCTGATGGTCAGCGTCCCAGAAATCGTATTTGGGCAAGATCTCGGAACGTCAGGGCGCAGCAGTCACGTCGATTCGCTGTGTTGTAGTCCCAGGAATAATGTTTTGACGCAGGTCAGGGTCGCCAAGACGCACACGTAACGATGATTCGCGGCGTTGCAGCCCCCAGGAATGGTTGCCTGGCACAATTCCGAATTTTCAAACGGTTGTCTTCCAACGGGGCTCCGAGTGACAATGAACCCGTGTAGGAGCATCTGAAGAGGGAATTTGGAGGGAGGGGTTATCACAATCTCGTTGATGAGCCTTGGGTTTACACTGGTCCTCCTCATCCTCATCATCATCATCATCCTCATCATCGTTATCATCACCATCACTATCATCATCACCATCACCATCACCACCATCATCAGCATCACCACCACCATCATCATCACCATCATCATCATCATCACCATCATCAACATCACCATGATCAGCATCAGCATCATCATCGTCAGCATCATCATCATCATCAGCATCATCATCATCATCATCATTGACATCATCGCCACCATTAGCATCATTACCATCATACCAGCAGCATCACTATCAGCACCACCATCACTTTAATCAAAATGATCACCAGCACCACCACCATCATCACCATCATCATCATAATCAGCATCATCATCATCATCATCATCATCATCATCATCGTCGTCGTCATCATCATCATCACCACCATCACCACCATCATCATCATCATCATCACCTTCATCATCATCATCATCATCATCATCATGCCACCCTTCCCCTCTCCGTCTCATCTTCCTCTCTTCCCCTCTTCCCACCGTCCTTCTCCTCCCGCTCCTCATTCTCCTCCCTGCCTTCCCTCTGCGTCCCGTCCATCCATGCGTCGGATGAGCAAGAGTAGCAAGGCTAAGGAGGGGATGGGAGAAGATGGGGAGGATGGGGGAACCAGAAAGAGGGGGGAAATGAGGAGGGAGGTGAAGGAGGATAGGGGGAGGAGGAGGGGGAGGAGGGGGAGGAGCAGGAGGAGGATGAGCTGTGCATCGGGAGCACGCGGACCAGGCGGCTCCCTGCCACCCTTGACGCAGCGGGGGGAGGCCACTCGGTGGCCGGCCCAGCTTCGGCGCCCCCCGGCCCGCGGCCGCGCCGCGCTGGGATGGCGGCGCTGCCGAACGCCGGGGCCGATGCGCCGAGGCGCTCGGGGCACACGACGCGGCCGGCGGGGGCCAGCGCCGGGGGCACGCGCGGCCGCACGTCTCTCCCGCGTTCCGCCCTCGTGTAGCAGCAGGGGGCAAACACACACACAGACACAATGTCAGCGTCGACTCCCAGGAAAATACGGGGAGATATGGGAAGTGTGGAGGGGGAGGCAAGAACCCCGAAAATATGGGGACAGTTGGGGATCATGTTTTTTGTGTGTATTGACTTGTGTGTCTCAGGGCCCCTTCAGTGTGGCTGCACCATGGGCATGGTAGACCTTCGCACGTGCACCCAGCATGTGGCCCCCCCGGACGTTCCTTCTGCGTTGAAGGAATCCACGTCCCGGTCAGTTTCGTAGGGCCAAAAAACCCAAACGAAGTGTGGAAGGTCATGAGGGAAGGTGGTGCGCGATGGCGAAAACGGTGGACTGCTCGTCGGGAGGTAGCAGATTGGGCGGGTATCGGGAAAGTGGCGAGCAGGCGAAGGAGGTAGGCGACCATGGGAAAACAGGATGGCGCAGGGGAACAGTTGAGTGGACGTAGGGAAGATTTACATGACATGGGAGAGATGGGACGGACGTGACGAAGCTGGGAGGGCCACGGGTAAATTCAGAAAGGCATGGGGAAGTTGGGGCGCACATGAGGGAGCTGGGAAGGGCGTGGGGAACGCGCGAGGAAGTTGGGAAGGACATGGAGGAGTTCACAAGGATCTGCGGGAGTTAGCGGACATGGCCGGACGGGTTCCAGAGGCCTCCTGGCTTTATCCGGACGGGCCCTGGAGCCCCCAACCCTTCGCCAGACGGACCCCGGAGCCCTCTGGCCTCAGCCAGGCGGGCCCGGGCGCTCCCTGGCTTAAGTCAGACGGGCCCCATGCAGAGCCCCCCAGTCTTCCGGACGGGCCTTGAACCCCCCAGCCTTAGCCGGACGGGCCCCAAAGTCCCTCAGTCTTAGCCGGACGGGCCCAGCGAAACGCCGCATGGAACCCCCAGTGGCCTGGAGCCCCCCAGTCTCAGCCAGACAGGCCCTGCAACCCCCCAGCCTTAGCCGGACGGGCCCCAGACCCCCCCAGCCGTAGCCGGACGGGGTTCCAGCTTGGCTGGAGGGATTCCGGAGCCCCCCAGTCTGAGCAGGAAGGGCCCAGGGCCTTTTCTGCGCTTCCCAAAAGTTTTCCGGCCCTGGTCGGGGGGCCTTGAGACCCCCAGATTTTCGCCAAACCCTCCCCATGGCCATCCAAATTCCCTCAATGACCGCCCAACTTCCGCACGTCTCCTCGCCAATGCGGGAGCTCCCTCATGGTCATCCAACCTCATCCATTTCGAAGCACGCCAGACACTCATAGCGAAGGCGCGTATCCTTCTCGGGTTTTGGACGTCATCAATTCATAATTACGGGTCCAGCCTTGTGTGTGGGTTCCAGCTTTTGTTCCAGCTTTCTGGTAATTCTTTGCTCGACCGTATTTCTTTATGCTATTCTAGACGCTTCGCCTAACCTCACCAGTCCATCCAGAGACGATGCCCATGCTAGTTGCCCTGATCAGGGACGTGGAGGAGCAGGTTGTGAAAGAAAGGGCTGGGGAAGCTGTCATACCCCCAGAGCCGGGGGATGGAGGAGGAGGAGTC